GGGTTAAGTTTGACCTTGTAGAGGCTGACTTTTATTGAGAAGGCTTTACAGATATGGTGGTTCTTTTACAGTGGGTTCCTACTTCTCCAGAGAGAAATATTTAAGTCTTGGCACGGAACAGAGTCCTCCAAATTGTTCCCTCTCCCCCCCTACCCCCAAGGTTTTCCTGCTTCTGTGTGTGCTCTCCATTAGGCAGTTGAAGGGACATTGCACACTCCCTGGGGTCTTGGCTCTCTGTTATCCTTTGTTTGAACTACCCTTCCACCTTCACATTGGCCAGTCAACTTGGTACCTCTTTCTTCTAAGCTGCTGACATCTCATGAATATTTCCAGATGCACCATAATCCCACAACAGTCTCTCACTTGGACTATTTTCATGCCTAGTACATACATGTAACAAAAGTCTCATGAAATAATATTTAATGTGTGTATTGCACTTCAATATTTTCATTTTATTCCATTCTAAAGATTCTGGCTGAAATCCATTAAACCAAGTGATTTCATGACCCCACTAATGGATCATGACCCAGAGTTGAAAAGCAATGAATTAGGTTATAGATCCTTGAGCTCCTTTAAAAGTCTCTCCCTGCACTATAGGGCACACAACAGGCAGCCACTCAAACAATTACATTGAGCTGGAAAAGGGGTCACAAACTCAGGAATATGGGTGAATAATATAATTGATTGAAAGGGAGGCATGTTTGAGAAGAATAGACCAAACATGATGATAAATGGTATGTGACCCTTGGCCTCCCGACCTGGGAGACAATAGGGAGTGGTGGGGACCTTGGGAAAATCAGAGAGCACAAGCCCTGTTAAAGGAGAGGACTGCCATTCAACTCCAAACAATTGCCAGCTTCAATGGACAGTGTTGCCAGATCTTTTGCATTAAGAACAAGTGGCAAATTAAGATTTTTGTGCAATCTTTCAATTTTTAAATGTCAACTCGTTAAAAAAATTTTAATGTGTCTATGCCAAGACAATACATGCACCAGATGTGGACCTTAGCCTGCCAATTAGCAGCTTTTAAATTAAGAAAATTAACTTCCCAGGGAATCAAACTGAACAGACTAAATTTCAGAGAGACTCACTCTGTTCTGACTTGCAGCTGTTTAATAGTAGTTTGAAGCTAGGACCTAAAAGATTTTTTGCCTTGGTTGGAATTTTCCTTTCACCCAAAAAATGATTCCAATTCCTCTTTCCCAGTTTTTCAGTTCCTTATTAACTCTATCCCCAAGTGGCCTGTCACCAGCAAGACTGAAGTGTAGTTAGTTTATTCAAACACTGCAGTTTCAGAGTCTTAGCAGAAGATAGGTTTGTTCACTTGTTTACTAGAATTCACTCATACTGGTTGTGATGAACAAAGGGCAAATCATTTGCCCTGTGCATCCAATCGCTCTTCTCCAAAGCCAGTTTCTGATTCGGCTTTCTTTGTTCCTCCCCTGCTGGGGCAGTGGACCTGAAGAATAAAGTTGAACTGTTTCCTTGGATAACTGAAAATAAAATTTCTCACCCTGGCATGTGTATATGAGAGCGAGTCACCCCTGAGAGTTAATTGGTACTAATTATGACCAGCCTGACTTGTCACAGCAACAAAATTTCTGGCATAACTTGCTTACTCTTAGATGGGAGCTGCCCCCATCTTTCACCTCTGCACCTACTTCTGAAGTTCACGATTTTTAAAACATGGTGTGTGCCTTTCAAGGAATGATTATTCAAAATGGGAAGGGCCTGTGGAATGCTTGAGTAGGGATTCAGCTCACAAGCCTGGCAAGATGAAATCATGTTGGGAAGAGAAAAACCGTCTTGCACACTACATCATATGGAGACATCAGCAGTTAAGAAGGGTGATTACCTTTTTCCCTGTTTTATCTTTTCCTATTTACATGCTAACCCTTTACCCAGGACTCCCATTTGCCAAGGAGGCTGGATTTCTGGTTTTAGTGATGTTGCTCAGGGCTGCTGTGTTTCCAGCAGTGCAGGAGAGATTGGAATAAAAGCATGAACACAGGACTTCAACGCCGCCTTAGCCTGCACTGAACGGGAAGAATAGGCTATCCTTTATCTGCTTATACGGACTCCCCCCTCCCCGCCCCCTTCCTGAGATACCGTAGGAGAATTCCTTTTGGCTCACCCTCACCTTTCTTTTCATTTTGTCTTGTAAGGTTTCTCACTGGGGAATGCACACTGAACTGAGCACAGGATCTGTAACTTGGCCAGAATGGTTACCTTTAAGAATAGCAGCTACTTCAGCCAGGCTTTGCATACAGTATTATGTTTAATCCCCACACAATCTACATTTTAAGGATGAGGAAACAGGTTTGATGATGTAAAGAAGTTTGCTGCCGTTGAACCAAGATAACATGATTGGTGGCAGAATTGGGATTCAAACCCACTTATTTCTATGGCTGCCTCTGATAAATGACTACAAATACCAGCATTCCTCGCAATGCTCCACCGCGCAAACGCTCGCTCTCCCCAAGGGCCGGGTTTCTAGGCTCTCGGTCCCCAACCTTCGAACCAACGGTTCGCTCGAAAACCCAATCAGATGCCGCCTCTCCCCCCTGCCGGGCCAATGGGAAGGCTGTTGCTAACACACCAGTTATATTTTTAGCTTTTCAGTCTCTGGAACCCTGTGGGTGGGCGGGGCCTCTCCCGGGGTGGAACACACTCCGGGAGAGGAAAGAAAAGGGGAGAAGAGGGAAGGGGGCGGTGGGGGGGGCCGGGAGAAAAGAGGGAAGGAAGGGAGGGGGAGAGGAATGAGGTGCAGTGGGAGGAAAAAGAAGGGGAGGGGAGGAGTGGGATTTGGCGGAGAGGGCGTGTATGTGACGCTCTGCTCTCGCTGACGCACAAAGCAAGTAGTCCCTGGAGGTGCCCCAAGAGCTCCAGCGCTCAGAGTGTGGGGGATGGGGGCTCTCGGGCTCCCCTTCTCTTGCGCTCCCCGGCCCGGCGTTTCTCTGCTGCAGTCCAGGAAAGCGCATTTAAACCCACACGCTACTGTTGCTCCTTGCCCTTGCAAAAAGAATGATCATGGCGGGGGAAATGCAAACCGTTCATAGCTGGAAACTTTTGGATCTCACCACCCCACCTGGGTTCGGCGGCTGCCGTAGGCCTGGAACTGTCTATAATGAGAATAAAGGCCGAAGGGGGGAGAGAACGGGGCGATTAAAGGAGGCACAGGGGAGAAGGCAACGCGCAAGCGCCCAGGAGCCCCGGGCCTCGCCACCTGACAGTCCGGGCACAGGCTGTGACCTCACCCGGGCACAGGCCTCCCTACCCCTAACTCCGCGTCCCCCAAAGTCACAAAGTGGCCCAGAGCCCGCGTGGCCAGACCCGGGCAGGAGGCTGGAGTGCGTGGGCCTGGCTCCCCACGTCCGGGTTCGGCGAGCCTCGATCCGCCGCCCGAGCGGCCGTCGCGGGCGCGAGCCCGGCGCCCCTGGCACAGGCAGGCGTCAGACTCCGCCGGCTGGGCTGTTACTAAAGAAATGTGGCTTTCTAGTGTCCCGAAGGGGGGTCGCCAGCCGGGGCGCCCGCAGAGGGGCCGGGCCCGGCCGCGAGGTAACGGGGAGCCGGAGGCGGTTCCGTTTCCTAGCCGTCCGGCCTCTTCCTCGCCTCCCCCCTCTCCAGCTCTGCGAGTCCAGCCCCGGTTTCCTCCTCGCCCTCCCTTAGACGTTACGGGCCTTCTCCGACGACGCACGAGGCGCTCCGGAGAGTCGGGCTGACCCGGGTTGATCCGGTCCGAAAGGTTTCCAGAGCTCGCGTAGTCCCCTCAACCTTGCCCACTGCCACCACCACCCGTGACTGGGGCGGTGCGAGGGCCCTGGGGCCGCCGATCGCCCAGAGCTGGAGGCGCTCGCTGATGTGGCCTGAGGGCAGGTGGAGGGCCAAAGACACGGCCTGGACGTTCCCTTCCCCGCAATATCCCTTCAGACCACACACCCAAAGTGGGCCACTCGGGCCCAGTCCGGGCCCCTGCCCCCGCGGAACTCGCTGTCCACCCGGGGAAACGCCTTACACGACGAGTATGATTTCTGAGTGTGTGGGGGCATGACGAAAATAACTACGAGGCTGCGCCGCGATGGGCAGGGCAAGGGGCTGTGCTGAAGTTGGAGCTGGTATGAGTGACGAGAGGGGGCCGGGCACTGGAGGGGGGCGGCGGGGCGGTGGCCCGGCCCCC